TGGATGGATGGTTGGTTGCAAGCTCAAAAATGGTTTGATTATTTGTAGGGTATATATTTTGTACCCTTTTTGCTCGGACTCTATTTCTTCTCTATAATACGGTGGACCGAAACTGGATAAAACAATAGTGAATCTGAGCTCAAGATCATTATTTTAAACAATCTAAAGAACGATAAAAATATTATCATACGGAAAAGTGATAAAGGAATCTCGTGTGTCATCTTAAACCGCAAAGATTACATTAAAGAAGTTGAAAATCAATTAAACAAACGCGAACATTACCAAATTTTAGATGCTCCGATTTTTAAAGAAACCGGCAGTGTGATTAATGACATTTTAAAAACATTAGTGACTGACAAAATTATTTCAGATAAACAATACGACTATCTTTCGGCTAGTTCTACGGCACGTCAACGGCATATTTATACCCTCCCGAAAATCCATAAGAACCCGGAAACAGAATGGTTTTTACCAAACATTATACCTAAGGGTCGACCAATCATTTCAGACTGCTCCAGCGAATCTTATCGAGTCTCAGAATACATTAACCATTTTTTGTTACCTTTAGCGTGCCAACACCCATCATATCTAAAAGACACATCCGATTTTGTTGAAAAAATAAAGAGTTTAGAAATCCCGGAAAATGCCTTCTTCATATCAATGGACGTTAGTAGCATGTATACCAATATTGACACGAAGCTGGTCTGAACGCTGTAAAAAAAATGCTTTGAGAGAACTCCTGACCCAAAACGGTCCGATTCTGAAATTCTTAAATTACTCGAAATTTGTTTAAAACGGAATGATTTTTATTTTAACGGTAAGGTTTATCTTCAGACTTCAGGAACAGCAATGGGTAAGAGATTTGCCCCAAGCTATGCCAATATATTCATGGCTGAATGGGAACGCGAAATTGATTTGATCTCTCCTTTCAAACCACTTTTCTACGGACGTTTTTTGGATGACATATTTCTAATTTGGCAACATACTATTCAGGAATTCTGGCAATACTTCGAAATTCTAAATAACCATCACCCATCAATCAAATTAACAGCAAATATAAGTGATCACAGCATGGACTTTCTCGACACAACAGTATTCAAAGGACCGGATTTTAATGAAACTAGGAAGGCTGATATTAAAGTATTTTTCAAACCCACTGATACCCACCAACTTTTATTGAAAAGCTCTTTTCATCCTAAACATATATTTTCAGGCATAATAAAATCGCAAGTTTTACGGTTCCGTAGAATTTGCACCAGAATAGAGGATTTTGATGATGCGTGTCAATTAGTCTTTAAGAAATTGTGAGAGCGGGGATATTCAAAACGATATCTCCGCAGCATTAAAAGCAAAACTCTTTCAGGAATTGAGAATCGGAACACAATCCTCGTTCCGGTAAACTCTAATCAATCTTTCGGATCACGGCCGTGCAAATCTACAAGATGTAGAACCTGCGAGCATATTTTAACAACCAATTCTTTCTCTAATAAGCATAACGGTAAACAATTCCCTATTAACGGTGAGCTTTCTTGTACCAGCACAAATATCATTTACCTAATTTCATGCGACAAATGTCATTTACAATACGTAGGCGAAACTAAAAACTCTTTGAGAGAAAGAATTAACGGCCATCGTTTCGACATCTCCCATCATCTGGATAAACCTATTGGGAACCATTTCAACTCTCCCAACCATTCCCTCGCAGATATGAAGGTGGCGCCCATTGAAAAGGTCATCGCAGAAGAAGACACCAACCCTAAAAGTTCAAGACTATACAGGGAGAGCTTTTGGATGAACCAACTAAAAACTATTTCGCCCTGTGGACTAAATATACAGTTTGATTCTCAAATAATCCCATTTGTTGCTCCATTCAATAACATTTCTTGCCAAGCATCCATAATTATCGAAAGATACTACACAGAGTTACAAAATAAATTTCCCACTATTTTTTACAAAAAATTAGTCATAGCTTATTCGAAAAATAAAAATCTACAGGGTATAGTTGTTCGTGGTCGACCCCATCGATGATGTAGAGTGATCTAATAGAAATATTCTCATTTTCATTGTCTTTGTACTTTATAGTATATAATTGTCTAAAACAATTTACTTTCTATACCTGCAGCCATTAATCGCTTTTCTTCATTATTCCGGAAAATTTGAAGCAGTCAATGTAGATTATAAGTATTATGAATTTCTTTATTAGGTCCAAGAAGATTTATAGGATAACCGTTATGATCATCTTTGATTTAGTTCATTGCATATTAGCATCACAATTATTGTAAACATAACTTTAACCCTGTGCCAGTGCCTTATATTGAATAGTAACTGGTTACTCTTCAATCACCCTAATCTCTATAATTATTGAACAACTACGAAATTCTAATGCAAATACAATATATCATAAATGTATACTTAAGGCATAACTGGTATGATAAACCATGATCTAAACTTTCGAAAATATTCAGAGTAAACCACCTCAAAAATTGCTTTTAGAAATTGTTATGGGTGGCAAAGAGATATTCAGTACCATCATGAAGTATTTGGTTGAAAATTTTAGTAATCTTTAAAATGAACAGGCAGTCACCCACAGAAAAAAAAAACATTAATCAGAGCCATCGCCAGTGGCGTTAGAGGGGAGGGGAGGGAGGGGAAGCATAAGCTAGCATAGAAAAACTGAATTGTAGACCCCCTACCCCACACTACATTTCTCTCAGACGCCCCATACACTTCCTAGGAGCTTTGAATCTCAACCTCGACAGCTAGTTAGTCTGCTCCCCATCATTCCCCCAGCCCCACCACATAAACAAGGAATTTAGATCTGCTTTATAATCATTCTGAACAACCGATTCAATAGTAAAATAAAGTGCATAAAATTTTTTTTTTCGAATGACCTTGGCCAAAAAAGACATTCTTAAATTAAGTATATTGTACATTGTACACTTCAAGTAACATGACACTTGAGAACGTGACAGTTTTTTTTTTTTTTTTTTTTTTTTTTTATAAGTCCAAACTAGGATGGAACATGTATAATTTTCCATTGACTTAACATGGGAATACGTCACAGGGCCCCATCAGCTGTTAAAATTCTGCATTGGGTTCAATTGAGGCCCTGATAATGGATTATTAATTTAGTTTTGACCTCAATATGTCATAGTTTTAAGTTCAGTGATCTGATCTCACTCAATATTGGACGAAACTTCCCCGTCATTCTAATACGAAAAAGTTTCTTCAAATTTCATTTTAAGTTGCATACATTTTGTTTTAACCGCAGTGCAATTCTACTTTTAAATGTTAAATAAGTCTAGATTGAATTAGTTTTTGATATCGTTTGTAGCCAATAAATTCAGTTTTAAAACAGAACATCTAAGAATAAGAATATCACGAGTAACTACGAGCGTTGGCAACAATTTAACTGTCTAGACTGATATTAGAAGCTTTCTTGGTATATCCATCCATCCATTCATCCAGTGTTTCGAACGTTCATTATAGCCTGAGTTTACGCGGAAATATCCGTTCATCAACGTACTCTTTCACACTTTGCGAAAATTTAACTGTTGATTTGAAAATTCTTTTTTTCAGGGAGCAGATGTTAAGACATTAAAGGCAAGTAGGATTGACAATTTCGATTTGATTTTGTTATTGGTTTTAATTCAATGTGGGGCCAAGTAAACTTTAAAAAGATGAGATGATTTTCGTGCAGGCCCGTAGCCAGCCAAGTGTTTGTTATCACCCAAGGTTGATCCCTATCGAAATACAGAAGAATCGAAAAATATTTAGTATGAGTTATTGTCCTTGTTCTTGAAAATGTGTCCCAAGTTTTAGCCTGTAAACACTCTAGAAGACCCCATTCTTCACAAATTTTGACTAAACTTGGTAATATTATTCAGTATCGCCCCAAAAAGTTCAAAAGAAGTGTAAGACTGAATGTTGAATATTTTTTACTGGTAATTGTTACTGTACTGCACTGCACTGCCAAATATTTTTTAAATCAAATGTCAAAATACATGAAAAATTGAATGCACAGTTTTATAATAAAGTTTTCCACAGATGCAAAGCATTGGATGAAATGCTTGCCAAGAAACAATTCAGAACAGTTAGGTTTGATATTGTAATATTCCATTGCCTAATGAAATGTAGTTATGCGGAAAGCAAAGCACTTACATATAACTTTTCACACAATTTTTTGCATTTTTTGCATGGTCAGCGCCTTCCCTCCCCCTCCTGACCACTGAGCTGGCATCATGGCCTTTAACTCGATTGGCCTCCATTAGAATTCAAATCTGGAACAAGATTAATATCTTTTGAATAAAAAGAGGAGGTTGGTACATCTTGACAATGTCAAGCTATGAACTGTGTCTTATACTTTGACTGCAATAGCCACTTGTTTCTTATTAGGGAAGTTTGTAAATGCTTTTATTTGGTTGGATTGTAAGTTTGAGAATATAGTCACTTTAGTAATTTTGTAAACAATAAGAAGAATGCTCTGATTGCTGTTACAATCCCATCAAATAGCATCATTTCTTGATAAGAGAAAGGTTGCTATTGCAGTCAAGGTATGATATGAAGTTTGTAATAGCTTGACATTGTGGTGATGAGGATGGTGCAGCTTGTAAAAACATTGTGATATTTCCTGTTGTATTTAAATATTTCTCTATAATATCATTATTTTTTGAAAGGTTGAAATAGTCCTCAATGTATCAATTGTTGAGAGTGATATATAAATATTAAAACAAACCCTGAAAGATGTTCTTACTCAGAGTTTCACACTGTCACAAGATCTTCAAATTCTATTTTAATATTTTTTATACCATATAATGATAAAAAGAAAAATTTGTCAACTGTTGATACATTGATTTCAGAAAGACAAACAAACATCAAAATATTCATTCTATATAATTGAAGTATATCATTTATTTTGGAAGTTTGGATGATAAATATGCAATAAAAGCAAAAATTGCACATGCCACCACCAACATCAAGGATGCTTGATTCTCTAATTTAATTTCTTCTACTAGTTCTTCTTTTTTTCGAATATTTTGCTTTGCTCGTAAATGACGATTTATTAAATTAGCATAATGTTGACGATAATGTTCATCAAAATTGTAAATTTTTGTATGTCCAGTATAAACCTTTCGTTTTATAATTTTCTCATTAATCGGGCTTTGAAATCCAGATTCAGGACTGTCTGCGTCATGTTCATGTTCGCGTTTGTATTCACGTCCATCATGATGCACATTTGGTCTTAATACACCTCGATCATACAACCGTCGTTTTTTGAGGTTACCAAGAACTTCATAAGCTTCAGTTATTTCTAAAAATATCTCATTTTCTTTATCACCTGTCTTAGTGTCTGGATGATATCGTTTTGAAAGGGTATAATACGCTGTTTTTATTTGACTCTGAGTTGCATTTGGACTAACGCCTAACACATCATAATAACTTCTCTTTGATTTTGTGCCTGTACTGTAATGTTTCACATTAATGGCAATCTTTGTTGGATCATTGAACATAGAAAACACACACGGCACATATGTCATTTGAGAACGAGCATATTTCATTTGATAGGTATTCTTAAGACTTCCATAATTTCTACACATTGAATAAACAAATGGTAGAAAGGATGGGTTTTTATCACATATTTCCAATAAATGTCTTTTAACCACTCGGGTCACAACTGACGAAATTAATGCCATTTTTACAAAGAAGTGGACATGAATTTTTATGTTTTCCCATGGGTAAGAGAGATGACCAGTTTGGGATTCGAAACAATGTTGTCACTTCATTTCATTATTTCACCATTTATTATGCTGACATTTAAACTCAACATGGCATCTGAAAACAAAAAGGAAAATAAGTTAATGATGTTTTGTTGTGTTTTAAATATTTTTACAAACAATTTTTAGTCACTACCTCAGCACAAACTCAAAGCTCCAGTTCCAATTCATTCTCATTCCTGGCCTGACACAGGGTTGTATCCTATTGGTAAATCGACTTTCGATTTTGGACTATTAAGATTTGTTACCGTTACTGGATACCTATAATAGTACTCAGCCTACATGTACTTGCTTGACTAAAGACTTCCCTACTTCATTGTAAACCTTAGCTTAGGCCTACGTATATTAATATTGTTAGTAGTATGTTGATTCATCTTTGTTGATCTTGAACTACCGGCCACAATTTTGACATTTGTGAGACTTAGTTCTACTAACCTGCAAATCATTACTTAGTCATCATCAAATGAAAACATACACTGATATTTCAACCTTCATCGTGTCATTTCCACTCTCTGGATTAGATAACAAAGTTGCGTACAATTTCATTGTATAAAACGAAACTATTATTTCAAGCAGATTGAATATCACATGACATATATTGAAAAAGAAATCATAATCTCAATCTTGATATCAAAATGATTTTAGTAAAGTCTACTACATTTTTTTTATATATATTATATATATTAATGGTTCGTTTCATTTAAAATTGGAAAATTGATGAATCCAAAATAGAAACAAAATGGCTTCCTCAGGAAGACCCGAGCACAGAGCTCCACCAGAAATTGTAATAACCGCTTTACTTATAGAAATTCATAATCAAAATACTTGTGATTTTTTAGCCCATATTGTTTATATTATAAAATATGTGTCCCTCATCGACTGGTCTGTTGATTAGATTCGTTGGAGAAGCGACAGTCCAAAAGTCCAAAACATATTAATTTCTTGTTACTGACATTCTGTAATTGTTCATTATTTTAACGTACAACTTAGTTACTACTGTTAATTTTAATGGCTCTATTAAGTCTTCTCTGTTTTAGTGTTGGCCCTGCATTGCTCACTCTTTGACTACAAATTTCCTTATAGGCTTATGAATTGAAATATTAATTACGAAATACTACTTAGAGTCTTGGATTGACCTATGTTTAGATAATATTACACAAGGGAATATTTCATTTTGAGACATTAAAAATTCAAATGTTAACCTTGGTTTTGTTATCCTTTAATGTGACACTGTAGACTCCGAGCACAAAATTTATGTTAGTGAACTGTAAAACTACATTGAAGTTATATTTTGCAGTTTTATAATGAAGAAGAAGCTAGGAAATATACATCTAAGTAAGTCTAAAAATGTTCTATCATTATATTATTATTATATTTGATAAATTTATTTATTCTTATGTTTGAATTATTCTGAATTGTGAGTTGAACCAATGTTTAAAGAATCTCAGACTCAAAAGTGTTGCCTGTTAAGTAACTATTGATATCTATAATTATTGAAATTAATGAACGCTATGATTTCAAAAGACGAAAATGCAAAATCTTGAATTTTTAGTTTTATTTTTTCTGCTGGCTAGTCATAATAGATTTAACAAATTCTGCATGTTTTGTTATGCTTAAAGTATGAAAATTTTTATTGAAAGAAGCATTTGATTTTTTTAAGTTCTCGAATGGTAGAAATACAACAGCAGCTTTCAGAACGTGCAGTAGAATTATTAGCTCTTCCACCAGATACACCTTGTTTTCTATTAGATGTTGGGTAATTATTATTTTAAGTTTGAAAGAGGGAGTGTGAGGCTGCTTTCATTCTCTGGTATGAAACGACTCCGATCATCCACGGAACAAAAGGGGCTTTTGCTAGATATGTTGTCATCTGTGTCCCAAGTGGTAGAATGTGTACATAAACTATGTCCATCTCTTCATCATGGAGTTATGCAACGTGTCTTACAAGGTATTACTGGTATGTTGGCATGCATTGTCAATTTAAACAAGAGTACTATGCACAAAGGGATGTAGACTATTTCCAAAGAATATTGTCTCTTAGATAGTTAAGCTTATAGATTAATATAAGATAGGTCATACTTTTTCTGCATGATTATTATTTTGGATATTTTTTTTGTTAATATTTGTTTAGTTGTGGCTCCGGTTTAAGTGGAGAATGGCTATCTGAAGAAGGACACATGTGGATTGGTGTAGATATCAGCCCTAGTATGCTAGGTAAGTTTCTATTTGTTTCGCCTTAAGATTTGCCATTCCTTCGACCAATTTTACTTTACAGAAATTTAGCCAAGCTAATCAGTAATAGTGTTCACAGCTCAACGTCGAAATTTTAGTTTTCAAATCCATGTGTTTCCAGAATTATCCACGTTTGAGTATCATTTCTTAAGACTGCCATATATAGAAAAGTCATTATATAAATAAAGGGTGAAAGGAGTGATTTTGTGCATTTTTTAGTACTTCTGAAGACCATTTACATATATTCAAGACCCAAATCAACGCCCGAAAATGGCAAATCTGTCCCTTTAAACTGCAGATAGCTGCATGTTTGTTGTAGGGTTATGAACTTTGAAGAAAATTGTCCCAATAGAATCTTCAACTAGAGTTTTCGAATTTTTTAGTGTTTTGATTGTAGCCGTTTCATTTTCTGATATGGTCAAAGGGAGATAATTTCATTAAGATTTTATAATTGAATTTTTAGGGAAAGCAGATGTCTGGTTTCAAGTCTGGAAATTGATTCAGATATTTGACATTAATCTAAACTTCTGAGTTTTTTTTTTTCCAGATATAGCAAAAGAAAGAGAGGTAGAAGGGGATGTTATTTTATGTGATATGGGATATGGAATGCCTTTTAAGCCTGGAACATTTGATGGTGTTATTAGGTTTGTTTGCTTTTGTACTTCTGTTCTAAAATATTGTATACAAATGAATGGATACAATCTGTATTAGAATTTTACTTTGGAATGGCAGAAGGTCAATGAATTAGACACCATGTGTTTTAAATTATGTCATAGATCAAGAAGGTTTCACCTGTAGGGGATAACAAAGTAGTAAGCAACCAATTTTTCAAAACCATTTTCATTAAAGATTTATTCGTGTCTTTTTTGCAACGGTTTTCATGTAACTCTGGCTTTATATTTCAGTATATCGGCACTACAGTGGTTATGTAATGCAGACAAAAGATATCATCACCCTCCTAAAAGATTATTTAAATTTTTTTCAACACTTTATGCATCTATGGTAGGATATTCTCATAACTGTATTATATTTGTTTCTTTCTTTTAAAAATTAGATTCTTTCTACGACTATATCATTTTTAGCTTTATAAGCTGTATTAGTAATTTGGTTGTCGTCATCAAGACAGGACATTCCCATTATTTTAAAACATCTCATGCCATTTGGTGACTGGTTTTGTTTATAGTCAAATTGAAAGAGGTTTTTTAGAGGTTTTTTGGCTGTTTGATGTGTTACACCATTCTAATTTTAAATCAAATGTCTAGGGTTCTTGTATTGATATAAATTCTTAACGTTTAGGATGTCACTTTATCATGAGCTGCTAATGATATCCAAGGGCCTTTGCAATAGCTACCGTACTTCATAAAACACAATTTTTTTTTTTTTTTTTTTTTTAGAGTCGTGGTGCAAAGGCAGTCTTTCAATTATACCCTGAAAATAGCTCACAGGTACCTTTAGATAACTTTAAGCTTATCTGCCTTTTGATGATCTGGCATGTTATTTGAATTGATATATATTTACAATAATAAAATATTTTCACTCTTTAAATACTGCTCAATACATTGTAGAGGGATAAAGAATATTAAAACAGAACCTGAAATATGTTGTTACTCAAGAGTTGCATGCTCTGCTATCTTAGGATAACTATCTATTTCAGCCTGTGTCCCTTGTAATTGGTATTTGGTCCTTTGATGAGTTTTGATGTATCAATGAACTTGTCCCTTTTATAAGTTTTAATGATATATATACTGATTATTTGTAGTTAGAATTAATAACATTTCAAGCTATGAAAGCTGGTTTTACTGGTGGATTAGTTGTAGATTATCCTAATAGTACTAAAGCTAAGAAGTAAGTTACCTACATAACAATGTCATTATTTGACCTACATACCATTATTACTAGTGTGTGAGATACACTATTTTCCAAATAAATTCAGCCATCTAGACTATATTGGCAAAGAACTTACATGATTTATTTTTTGCTCTAATCGAAAATAAAATCAAAATATATGAAAAACTGGCATTGTTACTTGAAACTAGCTGTGATGCAAAGGTATAGGCTGCATCCAGCAATTAGAAACTAATGCATTTTCCATTCAAGTATACATAAGACCCTTCAACTTGTCTGGAACTATAACGTATTTGTACTCTACTTCACTTTACTAAGATAATAAGTATTAATGTTTTTGAAGTTCTTTACCGATTATATTAAATGGGGATTCAAGCTTTCCTTTATTGATTTTTTTCCAGAATATTTTTATGTTTGTTTACTGGAGGAGGGAATCAAACTTTACCAAAAGGCCTGGGGACAGATGTTTCAGATGAACATGTAGCCTATAGTGATAAAAGGTAAGTTCTGACGGAATAGAAAAGAGTGAGAAATATACTAAATAAATGTAACAAGATATTACTCTACTCAAGAGATCTCAAGTTGAATAACCCAGTCTCAGAATGGTTTCAAGTGTTTCTGAAGGGTCAAATGTCTACTCATTACGAAAATAAGGTCTGAGAGTTGTAGGCAAAAGGATGAATATATAATTGACAGGTATAATCATCTTCTACGTAAAGTAACATTTTTAAATGTTTTGTTGTGGTTTCCTTGCTGTTAAAATATTCCAAATGTAGTCTAAAAATGGATGCCTTATTATTGAGACATGCATATTATGAATAAAACTTTTGTAATACTGTAATGGTCTAGATTTGTTGTTTTTCCCTTTTCTGTCTTTATAAAACTATATCTCGTCTTATATTTTAGAGTCAATTTTGGTAAATTAAAAGGAAAATCAGTAAAGAAAAGTAGAGACTGGGTAATGGAAAAGAAAGAAAGGCGAAGAAGACAGGGGAGGTAAATGCTCAAATAATATTATACAATTAAAATCTTGAAATACTTCTGCCATTCATATTCTATGTTTTTGTGACGTTAACTTGGAAGTTCAAATGTTATTTTCTGGCTATCATATGCTGTTGGGGAAGTGTTATTCTCTCTTTGCAAAGAAACCTTTTACCCGAATTATAGCCCAATAGTATAGAAATATATATCCTAAATCCCTTAGAATTCTTTGCTAGTGATATTGTACAAAGATTATTTAATTTTACTTGCAGAGAAACCAGACCAGATTCAAAATACACGGGCAGAAAAAGAAAACCAAGATTCTGATAATAATAAACTTGTTATATTCAAGGCTTTTGTTCCTTTTCATACTTCCCAAGAATAGTGAAGCACAATATTAATAACCTATGTCCTATATGGAATTGTGATGACTTTAAGCAGGAAAATAGAGCAAAATAATGAGGTTGTTGTCCCACACATTTTCCAAAAAAATATGGCAGTGCATATCCTTAAGAAGCACTGTGTTATTTTTCTCACTATTTTCCCCATTTTCTGCTGGAAGTGAGCTTGTATAAATTTTGATGCAAGATATTTATTTGTAAAATGAAGGTATGTGCCACTGATAACTTCGGATGTATTTTTTGCCAATTTGGTCAGGAATGTGGGGACAACTGGAGTCATAATCACTTTACAATTGATTCATCCCTCTGATAGCTATTTTGAAAAACAAGACATAGTTTGAAGTAATCCTTAAATCCCACTTTCCTGACAAAAAGTAAAAGGGCAAAGGATGCAAAAGTGTAAACCCTTTTTCTGGTTGATGCATTGGACAGAATTGAATGAAAGAAAAAATACCTGGTTAAAAATTATTTTAATATTTAACAATAGATCATATCAATATATTGGGTTATCACTGCCAAAAATTTCAAATTACCATCACTAGATATTAGTCTAATCAGTTTCCTGAGATGTCCAAAATCAGTATTCCAAACTACGCATGTGAGTTTTTTGAGCTAAAAAAGAGTCACAAACAGTAGCAAAACACCATTTGAATTAATTTTCATTTGTTGAAAAAGACGTTACACCAATACCTAATACTTCTCCTAGATCAGCTATTGAGATGTTTTGAATCCATTTAAATGTCATAGTAGAAATTATATGAATATTTGTTGTTTTCATGTCCAATTATGAACCTGATCAAAAGCTAAATGATTTATTATTTTAAACTTTTAAACTGTTTAACTATTTCTTCATAAATAAACACAGCTGTTCATTAAGTTAATCCTGATCTCCTAATAAAACTGTTTGAAATAAACAAAAAATTGGATAGGGCACAAACACACAGTATGTTAAAACGACTGCAACTGGAAATAGTTTAGGTCTCCCGGCAGCCACATGACTATTCAACGTTTCAGCCTCCTCTACCTGCTTCTTTAAAATTGGATTTCGTAAAGCTCTTGTGGCATATTTCCTGGCCACTGGTGCTAAACTCTTGCTTAAAGCCAATCTAACAGGGTTGTTGGTCAACATAATCTTCATCAAATTTTGGCTGGCCATGTTTTCTTATGACTGCAATATAAAATTTGAGATTTATTTTTAGTAATAAAAGGAAAAATAAATGAATATGAACCCATCCCAAATTTTAAGATTTTTAAATTTTGCCAGGATTTTTTGACGACAAAACATAATCCTAAAAAAAAGCTAGTGGCCCTGACCTGACCTAGCCTATACTCCACCAGAGTTTGGATATAATGCACTGAGAAATAACTAAAAATTGTAAGAATTATTTCTGGTCTTATTTATGCTTGGCCAAGAATCAAGATGTATTTATCTAGGCCTATTTATAGTTCTACACAAGTAAACGATATCCAGGTTATTTTTATAATATTATAATGAATCAGGTGCTTTAATAATCAAATACAAATGATAACTTAGAGAAAAATAATAAAAAATCATCAACTAAACAAACCTTTTCAAGGGCAATCGTTGATCAGTTTAGCACAGGAAGTAGACCAATTTCCAAGTTCTACAGACCTTCAATGCATTACATGTCATGACAATCGAGACTAAATCTAATGTGTCCAGTAAACGTCACATCGCCTTAATGTCAAAGCGTCCACATTAGTCTGTACCAAAACGCCATAAATTTTCAGATTGAGGAAAAAATGTAATATTAACATCCAATTAGTAAGCTTAATTCGATTACATTTTAATCAAATCAACCGATTGGTTTCTGAAGATATTCCCATCTAAAAATTTACAGTTCATGTCTGTATCCAGGAAAATACCTGAGGAGGGGGCCAAAAGGAGAGGTGTCTCTCAGAAACCCCTTGAAGTCAAGGGTTTAGGGGCTGCCAGGCAGCTCCACAGGCCCCCCAAAAAGCCAATGTTTTCAAAAGGACCCGAGATGAAGTTTGAGCATTTAGAGGGCTTAATTCTTTCACAGGCCTCTAAATACGCTACTCACCATGTGCTCTGGAGAATTGCAGCTAACATAGCCAGAGAATGACTGAAATATGGCATCATGAATGTACATATTACCTTGAGGATATTGTACCTATATAAAAAGATAGATCCTATCAATTTCAAGAAAGGTTATTTTAACAGGGATTCCAGACTAATGTGCACTTATAAATGACTGTGAGTTATACATCACACTGCTCTGTCCATTCTTGTTAAAATCCTTTGTTTATCCAACATACAATTCTGCAGTATAAAGGGCCTTTATTTAGTTCTTTATCCAATCCAAACAACCATAGGCTTTTCCCATGTCAGCTCCTCAAACAGTCTAAAGGAGACAAAGAACAAATAAAAAGAGGATGTTGCGTAGGATATGAACCAGGATGTTGCCTCGGATATGAGCCATTAACCCAAATGCCATCAAGAAGAAAGGAACAATCCAAAGTAAAATTTCTCTACATAGTTTATTGAAATAATAATATATTGTCATACTTATTAATATTATTATTATTTTAATGAAAGTTGTCAAAAACAGTCTAGTTTTTCTAGTGATTAGTTAACAAACACATAAAGAAATGAATGAAGAAAGAAATGAATAAATGAATGATGAACATCAAAGGTAATGTTAAATGCTTTTTATGTATAAGTCTATTGGAGACACTGATAGCATCGATTTACAATATGCCAATTTTCAGACAGATATCTGTAGTCATAGTTTTATGACGTCACTATCACAAAAGCTGCTAATGATTAAAGGACGTTTTGTGATAGTGATGTCATAACATGCCTACTTTTAGTGGAATTGCAAGAACCACAGACGACTGACTCAAAATTAGAATGCAGCAAATTGATGTTATCAGTGTCGCCGATAAACATATAAAAAGTTTAGAAAACCTCTCTTATAATTCCTTTAAGCCTATTGATAGATTTTTGTAAGTGAATTGTATTTTTCAAATCATTTTTATCTTAATTGAAATATTTGCCTGAAAAAAAAAATTAGTCTTTTTGATTAATTTTGGACATATTACTGTCAAAATTTTAAAATCTTTAATACGAAAGAGATTAATTTTCCACTTTCATAGCTTAATGATCTTCTTTTTATGAGACTATCCAAATCTGCAAACAAACATTTTACAGGACAATATATCTTGAATACAGAATTTTGACGTCAAACTCACAAATGCATCATGTTACTTTGAAAGCTGAAACTAGGCATACCAGCTGTAAAAATACTTCAAAATTTCAATGCTTCCATCTTACACAGTTTCATGCTTAGATTTTTTATTCAGGCATTTCCACACTTGATGGATGAGCAATACCCACTTGTCATTATAACAATAGAGTTATCAATGTATGAAAGAACATACAAATTGGTTTGCTAAATTTCTGGAGCAATGTAAGCTCAACTTGAGCTCTGATTGGTAACAAATTAAGCTTTACATTCCTTTCAATGATGTGCTTATGACAAAAATATTTATAATAGAAACAAATGACCCAAATGGTGAAGAGTATCAAATGTTACAATCATCCGATTACATTCGACATAAAAACGTGAAAAAATGAGGGTGTGCCAATATCAATATATTATACAATAACTCAATCAGATTAAAATACAGATTCCTTGCTTTTATACCTACTTCAGTCTTTTTCTGTACTTACAATTCCTCAAACAGTCTTACATGAAAGTTACCCATACGCTCTGCAACAGATTCAGTTTTACAGAAACTGCTGAGGATTGCTGAATGACATTTCCTTTAACGCAACAGAATACACTTGTGAATCAATGCTATATAAGTGCTTTTGTTATTATTATTACAAACTAATGCAAATCTGTTACTTAGTGTTTTTTCTGTAGGTTTAATGACTTGTCATAATGGAAAAGTAACCAACAGAAAAATTACAGAACCAATATCTAGATCTGCAATTTATTCAGATTACATTTGAAATTAGAATGCAACCTGATGAGCACAGCTACCCCACAGAAAAAGATTGAAATGCAATGCATGTAAAACTGTATTTTAAACAAACTGATAAGAAAATGAAATGAAATATAAATTTGTTAAGCCTAATTATAATATTCTACAGTCTTTGTCAACATATACAAATTCTACTAGTCTTATTGGAGTTAGAGAAGGGAGAAATGGGCATATAATAAATGGATCTAAAGGGAAATAGTCATCTAAATATTTGCTTTACCGAAGGTAGACCTCTATTTCTACTATATGTATCCCTCTTTATTATTAAAGTCAGAATTCTGGCTCTTCACAATAAAACTAAAATGTATAACTGTTTAGACTGACATCACTTTTAAGGTGTAATTAACCATCTCATATGCAGTTATTTTACCTATGATGTCATAACTTATAAGCTATGAAATGATGACACTTTATTACTGCTGCAGTTTCCAGTGAATTGCAGCAACTGGAACTAAAATCTTAATTCTGATTGTTCAATTGATAGCTGAAATTGAGTTCTATCAGCAGATAAAGAATATATTTAAACAACTATATCCCTGTAAATGAAAAAGCTACAGGAACTTGCATCTATCTTGTAAAATATGAATCATTTTAACGACAACAGCAACAAGATTGCAACAGTTATTAATATCATACAGCTGGGAGTTTAAAGGAGACAGTTGTTGAAATGATGTACATCTTAATTGCACACTGCAATGGGAATTTTATGACAAAATGAATTCTAAATAACAATCATAATGAAACAGTAATTTCTATATTCATCTTCCAGAAGTATAACATTACCAAATACCATTGCTCCTGCTTTGAGATTTTCAGGCCTCTTTAACACTTAAAGGGACAAGTGCGCCATCTGTTTGACCAATCGTAGCTTTGTCCCAGAAACAGAATTTTCTAGCTTATCAGTAATAGTACTC